AGGTCCCCGGGGAGGACCTTTGACCATCATCGACCCCCAGGTCCGCCCCATCCGAGCGGCAAAATCAGTGTCCCCCAGACAACGCCGCGGCCCAGTTCGGTGACATGCACAGTTGCCACCGTGAGGCAGCCCGCGACCCACGGCGATCGATAAGGCTCATTAATAATTAACTTTTTAATTAAAATCCATTTAAAACAAGGAGGGAATCAGCCTCTTGCCGTGAATGTCCTTGCCCCCCTGGGCTGCCTGGGGCCTCTGGGTGGAAGAGGGGGGACCCCGAGGACTGAGCACGGTGACAGGGTCTTTTCCTCCCTGTTGGTGGCCCCCTGAGCCCTGTCCCCAGCCCTGTTTGGCATTTTATTGAGAGACAGGGTCTCGCTGAGCGGCTCAGGGCCTCGCTCAGTGGCTGAGGCTGGCCTCCACTTTGCGATCCTCCTGCCTCAGCCTCCCCAGCCGCTGAGATGTGCGCTGCCGGACAGACAGACGGTCTCAGTGGAGAAGAGCTGAGAAGATGCCCTTGTTTCCATAGCAACCCGGAGTGGGCAGCAGCCTGGTCTCTGGAGGAGAAGGTGGCTTTTCCGTCACCGCCACCCAGAGCCTCACGACCCCAGGGGTTTCCTGACCGGCTGCTCGGGTGACCGCAGGCGTAACCACGGCGCCCGGGGGCTCAAGTGGCTGGTGGTGCCAGGTTCCTGCTTTGGGGTTGACAGTCGAGTGTGGCTGGCGGGCAGGTGACCTGTCCCTGGACCCAACCCCGCCAAAGCCAAGGAATGTCGGAGGCCAGGGACATGGGGCCAGGCAGCACCATGGATGGAGAGGGCAGCTTTGGGAGCTGTCCTGGGGTCACCCGCCTGTCCCAGGTGGTCCCAGGCCCCTCTGAGATGGCTTTTCTTGGTCCCAGGGATTGAACTCGGGGTGCTGACCCCTGAGCCCCGTCCCCAGCCCCTTTTTGTATTTTATTTAGAGACAGGGTCTCGCTGAGTGGCTTAGGGCCTTGCTGAGTGGTTGAGGCCGGCCTCCACCTTGCGATCCTCCTGCCTCAGCCTCCCCAGCTGCTGGGAGGACAGGCCTGTCCCAACTGTGCCCCGCTCTTCCCCTCTGATCTGCTTCCCAGACACAAACCTACCCTCCTCCTCACGGGCTCCCCTCTGGGGATGGACGCTGGGACCAGGTTTGGCCTTGGCTTTGAAGTGCCCCTTCTCAAGTCACCTGAATCCTCCAGACAGGAGCCCGTTTGAGAAATGGATGACGCTAAGCTGGTCCCTGGCCAGCCCCTTGGTTCCCCCCACTGTGGGGAGGAAGGGAATGAGGTCCTGTCGTCTGGTCAGACTCTCTGGTGGACAGAAGCATCTCCTGCCACCCCACAGAGATGTCCACATCCCGGTCCCTAGAGGCTGTGTGTAGGTCAGGCGGCTTCTAGAAGGTGGTAAAGGAAACCGGGCGCCATGGTCACGCCTGTCATCCCAGGGGCTTGGGAGGCTGAGGCAGGAGGATCGCAAGGTGGAGGCCGGCCTCAACCCTAAGCAACTCAGGGAGACCCTGTCTCTAAATAAGATAGAAAAAGGGCTGGGGACAGGGCTCAGGGGTCAGCACCCCCGGGTTCCATCCCTGGGACCCAAAAACCCCAACAGCAGCCTTCTGTTCAGGTGTGACCCTGTTGAGGCCCAGGAGGCAGATTAGGGAGGCCTGAGCTTCCCACCCCGGGGGGCCAGGAGGGGAGTCCAGGGACCCTGCCTGGCCTCTGCTGCTGCTCTGGGACCTCCTTCCCGGGTCTCCTCGCCTGTGACCCCGGGTCCCTGGCTCTCTGGGGGTGTCACCCGCGCTCTTCCTCCTGGCTGGGGCCTCCCGGGTCCCCCTGCCCAGCCTCGGGCCCAGCCCACTGCCTGATCGGGTCCACTCTGTACAATTGCCTGGACGCTGGTCCCCTCGTCCCCATGGCAACGGGGCAGATGGAGCCCGCGATTAGCTGTGCTCCTCCCGCCTGGGCTCGATCTGTCTTTGAAATTAAATCAGCGGCGATAACATCGACTGGCCACAGGGGGGAGGGGGAGGGGAGGGGGGGGGGAGGGGGGGGGAGGGGGGGGGGGGGGGGGGGGGGAGGGAGAGGAGGCCCCACCCACCCAGCCCAGGGGACAGAGGAAGAGGACCTCTCAACCCCAGGGCCTCAGTTTCCCTGTCTGTGAAATGGGAGCAGATGAGTGGCCGCCCTGGGGTCTCGGGGTGCACCTTCTGGGGTGCAGGGGGCGTCCCCCCCATTGAGGGTTCCACAGGTGCCAAGAGGGGGGAGGCGGGAAGGGAGCCTGGAATTGGGGAGGGGCTCCCTGGGGATCTGGGAAGGAGGGTTGCAGGCACACGGTGCCGTCGGTGCAAAGGTCCTGAGGTAGCAACCTGCCGGGACTGTCTGCTGGACAGTGAGGCTGGGGGGGCTGGAGGAGACGGAGTGACGGGGCCGGAGGATGGACACAGGGCTTGGGGGACCACGGTGATAATGGTGGCTTTTACAGATCCGAGTGTCTCACGAAACAGGTTTTCACAGGATCCTCTGTGGGGTCAAAATAGGGTGATAGAGGGCAAGAGAGGAGGCAGGGAGGCCAGGAGGGAGGCCGGGGTTAATGTCCAAGGTCTAAGATGGGACCTGCCCTTGACCTCAGAAACCACAGGTGAAGCCGCCCCCTGTGTCCCCAGATGGGGCTTCCACACAGCCCCACCCTCAGGGTGCTCCTGTGTGACCAGGGAGCTCACGCAGGAGTGGGGACTGGGGACTTTGAGAGTGACAGCCTCCCTTCCTGGCACAGACCCTGCGCTCGACACCCAGGCAGGACCAGAAGGGACTCCAGGGGACATTCCCTGAGCCTGGCGGAGTCCCCCAGCAGACGAAAAGAGTCGGCCTCCGTGTCTCTGTCTGTAAAATGGGGCAGGGGTTCAGGGGTGTTTGAGGACAGGGGACAGCAGGAGCCCGTCTTCCTCTGTGTGGGACGGAGGCCGCTCTGTATTCAGCTGTGAGGCCCCAGAAAGAAAGGAGAGGCCGGGCGCGGTGGCCCACGCCTGTCATCCCAGGGGCTCGGGAGGCTGAGGCAGGAGGATCGCAAGGTGGAGGCCGGCCTCAACAAGTTAGCAACTCAGCGAGACCCTGTCTCTAAATAAAATATAAAAAGGGGCTGGGGACGGGGCTCTGGGGTTGAGCACCCCTGGGTTCCGTCCCTGGAACCAGAAGAAATAAAGGAAGCGGTGGGTGAGACCCTGTCACTGGGGTCCTTGGGGCGCTGAAGGACACGGGGCACCTTGCAAACACCCAGATGTCTGCTGTCCGCCCAGCACCAGCCCCGGGTGGCCACCCAGGCTGTGGGGCGGTAATTGAATTGTCCCCAGCAGCTGTCGGTACTAAATAGACACTCGACACGGCCAGGCTGCGCCCCTGATTAGGGACATTAGCAGGTCGGCGGGGACAGAGGTCAGGTGGTTGATGTGGTGGAGGGGACTTTGATGAAGTTAGTCCTGGAGCCGGACTTGAGTGGAGGTCCCACCTTCTGTGCGTCCGGGGACTCCCCTGCCCTCTTCTCGTAACGTGGTTAGGGGGACCTCCAGCTGCTGGCTGTCCCCGGGGGGACCTCAGAGCCAGGTCCCTGGGAACGGGAGCCGGGCAGGGTCTCCAGACGTGGCCGCTGCGGCCAGATCAACTGCCTCAGCCTCCCTGGCCCCTGGGATGACAGGCGTGGGCCACCGCAGCTGGCCCAAATAGACATCTTTTTAAGAGCAGCACCGGAGGGCTCTCGGATAATCCCAACACGGTCCTTTGTTTCTTTAGGGTCAGCATCGTCCCATGACAGGGAAGTCCCTCCCCATCAAAAGAGTCTGCCTACACTACCTGGAGAAAACTTTGGCTCTGCCTGGCTGGGACCTGCTCTTTGTGACCCTTTAGCTCCAAGGACTAAAAAACAGGCTTTGCCCTGGGAGATAGGCAAAGGCTCTGAGGTTACCAGAATTTTGCATGTGCAAAGGCCCTGAGGTTACCAGGATTTTGCGTGTGAAAAGGCCCTGAGGTTACCAGGGTTTGGCATGTGCAAAGGCCCTGAGGTTACCAGGACTTTGCATGTGCAAAGGCCCTGAGGTTACCAGAATTTGGGTTCAGTGGAGATACAGGAGTGGGGTCAGCATGGCGAGAGCTCACGGGGTGGGGGGGGGTATCAGGGGAGGTCAGAGAGGTGGGCAGGGCCAGGCCATCGGCATGTTAAGATGCAGGTGGGGCAAGCGGTGCTTATATTTGGAGCATCGGAAGCCACAGAAGGTTTAAGGCAAGTCACAGAAACGTGGACATTGGTGACTGGGATCTGGCGTGGCTCCTTCATAAAGAATCACGGTGGGAGGAGAAGACGAGGTCCTGGAACAGGGGCAAAGCCTGGAGAGAGCGCGACAGGGACCGTGGGGGGAATTGATGGTGGCGTGGGACTGCCACTTGAGGTTGGATCGGAAGTGACAGTCACGGTCCTTGGGGACCCAGGTGATGCAGATGAGAGAGATTAAAATCTGCGCGCAGGGCTGAGGGTGGCACTCCGGGATGAGGCGCTGGCTTAGCATGCCCAGGGCCCTGGGTGGCATCCCTAGCACCAGAAGCAAAACATCAACCACCTGTCATCCCAGCGGCTCAGGAGGCTGGGGCAGGAGGATCGCAAGGTGGAGGCCAGCCTCCGCCACTTAGCAAGGCCCTGAGCCACTCAGCGAGACCCTGTCTCTCAATAAAATAGAAAAAGGGCTGGGGACGGGGCTCAGGGGTGAAGCACCCCAAGTTCAATCCCGCCACCCACATCCAGCTGCTCAATAATGACCCCAGATTTTTTCCCCCTAGGACAGTCTGGTCACATGTCCCTTGGTTGGAACGATCCCACCCTGTTTCCCTCCGCCAGGTCATCACCACAGACACGCAGCTGTCCTTGAAGTCACTTGGCAAATTTATTCATCTTCAGCCTAAGACTGTGGCCCCCGGGGGGACAGCAGCCTGGTGGCCGGTGGGGGGGCGGGGTGGCCCGAGTGGCCCGTTACTTGCTGTCCACCCTCTTGAGTTGTTCCTTGCCATTGATGGTCACCGATTTGAGCTGGCCGTCCTCCTCCACCTCCACGCGCTCCTGCCCGTTCTCCACGATGCGCTTGGTGGTCACCTTGTGGCCATTGACCATCTCGGTGGATGACATCACCGACCTGAACCCCGAGCTCCCGCAGCCGGACCCCCCAAAAGAGGTGGAGGAGAAGGTGGTGCGGCTGCCCCCGCTCCGGCCCAGGACATTGAAGTTGGAGAAGGCCTCCACGAAGGCTGGGAACTCACCGAAGCCCGCCGAGAAGGCCCCTCGCAGGCCATGTCCCCTGCTGCCCCTGTCACTGCTGAATGGGGTATCCCAGAAGTCAAAGGAAAAAGGGTCCAGGCCACCAAAGAACTCTCGGAAGATGTCCTCGGGGTTACGGAAGGTGTAGCCCGTGTCGAAGGGACTGTTGTAGGGGGTGCTGGCCCCGCCACCTGCCCTCCAGCTGTCACATCCCGCCCGGTCATACAGGGAGCGCTTCTTGGAGTCGGAAAGGACCTCGTAGGCCTCGGACACCTGCTTGAACTTCTTCTCGGCCTCCTCTTTGTTATCGGGGTTCTTGTCGGGGTGCCACCGCAAGGCCAGCTTGCGGTAGGCCTTCTTGATGTCCTCTGGGGAGGCGCTGGACTGTACCCCCAGGACTTCGTAGTAGTTGGCCATGCCGAGGGCGGGTGACCAGGGAGCAGGCGGGAGCCGAGGGTCACAGAGGCCCCCGGAAGGCTGGGGCCTGGGTGCAAGGGATGGATGGGCACGTCGGGGCGCAGCAGCTGCTGAGGGGGGCCCCTTCGGCTGGGCCTCGGCTGGTCTCTGCAGGCTCGGGGCTAGACGGTGCCCGGTGGCTTTAGCTTTTCATAGTCCGCGTTCCCGGGGGACAGCGGCGGCCTCCACTGGGAGGGGTGGGGGGGAGGGGAGGGACAGTGCCGCAGTGGGCCTGGTGGGCTGGGCCCCCCTCCAGAGCTGGGACCAGGGACCCCTTTGTGACATCAGTTCCTGGGGTGGGGCCTGGGGCCACACAAGGTCGGCCTTGTGCACCCGGCTCTGCCAATGAGGTGGGCCATCGCGGTGACCCTGGGACACGAAACCCAGTCACCCTGGGGCTGCCGGCTCAGCCTCCACTGGCCAAGGAGCGGAGGCCGGATGAGCCTCTGGGATCGGGCCTCAGTTTGGGCGATGAAGGTCAGTGGTAGTGGTCAGTCACAACTCAACCAACCGGGGTCATTTGTTTTGGGGTACCAGGGATGGAACCCAGGGGCGCTTCACCCCTGAGCCCTGTCCCCAGCCCCTTTTTCTATTTTATTTAGAGACAGGGTCTCGCTGAGTGGCTCAGTGCCTTGCTAAGTGGTGGAGGCTGGCCTCCACCTTGCGATCCTCCTGCCTCAGCCTCCAGGGACACTGAGATGACAGGCGAGAGCCACCGTGCCTGGCCATTTTAGGAGGTCTTTCTTTATCTCTGACCTCCCTCTCTCCTTCTCTCCTCCCGGTGCTCCTGAGGGCTTACTTATGAGCATCTTGCCTGGAACGGCGTCTTCTCTCCAGTTCCAAATCCCAGGGAGCGGGGAGGGCAAAGCAAAATCCACAAACACTCTGCAAATCTGGCCTCAAGTGGTCAGTGCTGTCACCCCCTGGCCACACACCTGGTCAAGAAATGGTGAATCGCACTTTGCTAGCAATGGCCCAGGTCCACCCACCCACCCACCCACTTGGGCTAACCCAAGTCACTTGGCAGGACAAATCGACAGGCGAAGAGTCCCAGGGCCAGTAGCTGCCGGTGAAGACCACATTTCTGTTGCAGGACTCTGTTAACATCCTTCAAACGTGTCCTCCTGGTCAGGCTCGCCCATGGGACCTGGAGAAAGACACCGGCTCTGTGGTCTTCCACCAGGATGGACGCAGCTACAGCAGAGCAGTTGTTGACCATGGTCATGTCACACAGGCCACCCTTGATGATGGAGAAGACTGTTAAAATGGGCAAAGGGATCGTGGTCCCAGCGTCACATGAAGGTACGGTGTTGGTGGGATCATAATTGTGTGGCGACGGTGGAGCTGATGATGGGCGTGGGGAAGGTGGCCATGTCCTGATGGAGGTGACAGTGATAGCTCGATGATGGAAGAGGTGTTGCTAGGATGGGGAGGTGACAGAAATAACTACTAGAGAAGCTACTGGTGTGGTTGGTGGTGGCGATGGAAACGGTGATGGTGAAGATGGTGGCGTCGGTGGAAGGTACACCTCATCGAGCTTCCTCACAACATGGCCTCCCCACGCCTCGTCGAGCTTCCTCACAACATGGCTTCCCCACACCTCGTCCACTTCCTCCCAACATGGGCTTTCCCACGCCTCGTCCAACTTCCTCCTAACATGGATTTCCCACGTCTCATCCACTTCCTCACAACACGGCCTCCCCATGCCTCGTCCAGCTTCCTCACAACATGGCCTCCCCATGCCTCGCTAGCTTCCTCACAACATGGCTTCCCCACACCTCGTCCACTTCCTCCCAACACAGGCTTTCCCATGCCTCGTCCAGCTTCCTCCCAACACGGACTTCCCACGTCTCGTCCACTTCCTCACAATGCCCTCCCCACACCCCGTCCAGCTTCCTCACAACACGGCCTCCCCATGCCCCATCCACTTCCTCACAACATGGCCTCCCCACGCCTCACCCAGCTTCCTCCCAACATGGCCTCCCCATCTCCTGGATCTCAGCAAGCATTTGGCTTGTGCCACTTTTACTCACTGTCCCCAGGGTCACCTCTCTCCCTCGCATGTCTTCCCACGCTGGGCTCCACGAGCCGATCGGAGGCATACCATGTTCATGGAAGCTGGGGACAGCTGGTGTATTCACAGCCGCCATTTAAAGCTTCCATGGGGAATGTGTGGCCTTCTCCCCCCGGGGGTCAGTGTGTCCCCAGGGTAGGGGACGGAACTCCCTCAGGAAGGTTTCCGCAAGTGTCCAGGCAACGGCTGGAGAGGATGATAACCCCGGCAGGGGGTGAGGAGGGAGCAGCGTCCTGGTCATGGTGCGGTGACGTCCCGGTAGGAAGAGCGATGGTTCTGGTGGCGGCCACAGTGTTGGTAAGGGGGTGGGTGGCGGGAATTGCGATATTCATGGACGATGGTGGAGAGGACGGCTGTGGGAAAGGGGACGTCAGCCGGTGAAGGTGGCAGGTGGTATGGGGAAGGTGGGGCTCTGGGTTTTCAGTCGCCATCTCAAGACCCCTGAAATGGTCTTCTTGCAGAAGCCTAGAAGATTCTTCCGGAACCCCCCCAACTTACCCATGTGATTCCATATAAGTCGCCCAGGCATGAGATTTTTGAACCTGGAAGAAAAAGAGTCAGTTGTGGGCAGCGGGTCCCCAGAGGTTGCCGCGATTTCTGAGCCACTTTCGGTGACTCTTCTGCTCCGGGTGCCCACTGGGCTGTGAAGGGACTTCCGGAAAAATCATGGGAGTCTCAACAGCTTCCAGGCAAGATCTTGAGAGCCTCTCGCTTTGGAGCGGAAGCTTGAGACCATCAGCTGTCACTCCCTTTCCTGAGTGTCGGTCCCCCAGCTTGTCCAGCTGTTGCGTAAGCTTGTAATAATTGTCCTCCTACACATGACGCCCAGTGACGGTGTGCCTGTCATGGCGATGGTGGTCCTGATGCTGGTGGACACGGTGATGGTGGTGATACTGTGGTCGTGACTCAATGGTGATCAGTGGGGAGGAGATGGTGGTGATGACGGTCATATCAATGGTGATCAGTGGTGGGGAGGAGATGTTGGTGGTGATGGTCATATCAGTGACGGTCGTGACAGAGAAGGTGGGCATGGCGGGGGGTGGGGATGTTCATGGGGATGGTGACATCGGGATTGGTAAAGGTGACAATCAGCACAGTGTTGTGGGTGGTCCTAATGTTAAGAGACAAGGGACCCAGAATAATAGGTGTCCAAGAATCGCATCACCGTTCCCCTGACCGGGGCTCCTCTCTCTCCATCCTGGGGGACTCTCTGGGGCTGACCTCCACCGTTTCCCACGAGGGACTCTGTTTCCTGGTGGTGGCTGGTCTCAGGGCACCCTGGCTCCTCTGGGCAGAAGGATCCAATGCCCAGGCAGGCTCAGAGAGGGCAAGGTACACCCAAGGTCACACAGCAGTCCCAGGAAGCCTTCCCCAGAGGGCGGGCCAGACGGATGTAGACCGACGAGGTCCCCAATTGGTATTCTCAGCAGCCAGAGGCCCCTCTCTGTCTCGGTAATTAATGGAGTGGCTTCTTAAAAGGATTCTAATCACCCCCGATCCTATCTGCTTATCACATGCGTCCCTAATTAGATGATCCTAGCAATCATTCAGCTAATTCCCTCCAGCCCCGGGCAGCCCTGCCCAGCCCAGCCACCCCCACCCCACTCCCAGGCTACCCTGCCCCGGCCAGATGGACCGTTGGGGGACTTCTCTCGTGGCTTTGTAACTGCATTACCACCAGGATGGATGGGTGACACGGGACGGATGAGCTAGGAGGTGACAGGTGGGTGACGGAGAGCTGAGGGTGGGTGCATGGGTGGACGAGCAGACAGACAGACAGACACAGAGATGACCTGGCAGTTAAGGGGTCCGTCTGCCCCGTCAGACAAGCTGGGTTCAAATCCCAGCTCTGCCAATCTCTAGCTGTGTGTTCTTGGGGAAGTTACTTAACCTCTCTTATCTCGGTTTCCTTATTTCATCAGGAAAAAAGGGAGGGTGGTGACCAACTCTGCCTCGTTGCGAGAGGGTTGTGTAAGTGTGCAATGAAAGATGGGGCTGATTGTGGGTGATGAGACAGACCCAATAAGGGGATGGATTGATGACGAGTAACTGGGAGGTGCGGTAGGCGGATGGGTCCTTGGTAGAAGGGATAGAAAGGTGCAGATGGGTACTGAGGTGGGCAGGCGGGTGGTTACGCAATAGTAGGAGAGTTTTCCAGGTGACGTGGGGCACACACCCGTCATCCCGGCAGCTCAGGAGGCTGAGGCAGGAGGATCGCAAGGTGGAGGCCAGCCTCAGCCACTTAGTGAGGCCGTAAGCAACTCAGTGAGACCCTGTCTCTAAATAAGATATGAAAAGGGCTGGGGAGGGGGCTCAGGGGTTCATAGGGCCCCTGGGTTCAACCCCCCAAATAGCGGGCGAGTTCATGAATGCCCGACAGGGAGTCGTGTGAAGTGGGCCACGGTGGGAGGTCGCCTGTCTTCTTTTCTCGAAATGATTAGAAGATTTCAACTCAGTTCCTGGCACAGATGGGGTTCAGACCTCCGGAAAGGCTTCCTGTCCACCCTCCCATCCATTGGGATGGGCACCAACTGCCCCCCCCCAGTTCCTTGACCCCACCAAAGGCTACGCCCTTCCTGGTGGTGGCCCCTGTGGACTCTGGAGGTCAGAGCTGGCCTCAGATGCAGGATGACTATCTGAATAAGGATCCTCTGTGGACCCTCTGAGTTCCAAGAAGGTCCAGCCTGTTCGGGTACTGCCCTCCCCGGGTCCCCGCCTCCTAGCGGGCAGCGCTGTGTCCCTGGTGGGGTTCCAACAGGAGCTTCTACACACCCAAGAGGACTCAACCCCCAGGACTTCACACACCCACGGTCATCTGTGGTTTCTGGGACCTGGGGCTACCTGGGTTTTCCTAGAAAGAGACTAGAACAAAGTCAAGGTTAGCGTGAC